TGTTTGGGAAATTAAAAATATAATTAGTAAGTTAAATATCTATGACATAGTTGTTCATTTTTCTTATTGATATGGGCACATGCTACAGATTGGGCCATATCAGACTTTCTCTGAACAGATTTTAAAAAGGCACCTTCAGTCCATTCAAAGTGTTTTCAATGAAATAACTACACAAACAGTCTGAAATTAGGTTGGGCAGCACTTTCTCTTTAAGTCTGAAGTTCAGCTCGGTGGGGCTGAACAGTTTCTAAATTTTAACAACTTCAAAGTCTTTCCTTTGCTCCCCTAGCTGAATCCTCAATTTATTTTTCTCTCCTCTCCGTACAACCCCATTTTGTATTCTCTCAACTCCACTTTCTACATATGCCTCTGGCAATAATAAAGCATAAAAATAATCAAATGCATAAATCATATGTCCTTTCTAAATGAAATATGCGTATTAATGAAAGTATGCATATTTAGTTTGTACTTTGTGAAAACACTTCTATGCAGTGTAAGAAACACCACTGTAGAACATATAAACACAGAAATAAGATTCTATTCTACCACAATGTAAGAGACACCATGAAAATGTTCTGGAAACTTCTGAAAAAGGAGAGAGTGACTGTGCAGTAGAAGGATATGGGCTTCCTAGAAAGGACGTGAGGTAACATCTGAGTTCAACACTGATGAGTAAGAGGCTGGAAAGGAGGTTCGTCCCACCAATGCTTCGCCCTAGTAGCAGCATTTCTATTGCGTATCAGAAACTGAATCCAATTTGTATTTTTCCTATCTCTGTGATCCTTAGTGCTTGCCTTTTTACCTTCAGGTAAATAGTTAACTAACTTTATATTAACTTCTCATCAAATCATGGAGCGATATCTACCTCATGACTAAATGCTAACTAACATAGAAACTGGTAGAAATTTCTAAGTGATGTAACGATTCAGGAAAATGTTTTGGAAAGAATTACTGGTGGCTATATAGAAAGTGGGATGTGCAAAACCAGCTTACTGGGTTTAGCAATCTCTCTATTGTTAAGAGGAAGCTGAAATAAAAAGGAAGAAACAATGTAAACAATGACCTTCTCTAAATTGTGCTTTTAATGTTGTGACCTGGGGGTTTTAATTTGCTGTAAGAAAACATAAAGTTTCCTATTATTATATTCATATTTTCTTCTAATACTGAGATTTATGAAACTGATTTTTCTTTCCTTTTTACATTAGCTGCTAGAATTGAAAACCTAAACTGAACCAGAAATACACTGATCTTTGGAAAGTTTTGTTTTTCCATCTCTTCCTTGGATTTAATTATATAGCTCAGGTTCTTTTTTTCATTGTTGTTGTTGGTACTGGGTACTGGAGTTTGAACTCAGGGCCTTAAGCTCAAACAGTACTTTACCACCAGAGCCATGTCCCCAGCCTTTTTTTCTTTTATTTTTTGGCTTTAGTTATTTTCAGATAGGGTCTCACATTTTTCCAGGGACTGGTCTCAGACCACGGTCCTCCTACTATAGCCTTGCACATAGGTGGGATTACAGGAACGCACCCCGTGCCTGGCTTATAGATGAAAGGGAAGGGGAGAAATGACCAAACATGTTATGCACATATGAATAAAAGAAATTAAAAAAAATAAAGCTTATTAATTGTTAAGGAAAAAAAAAGAAAAAAAAAAGGGGGAGGTCTCACTAACTTTTTGCCCAGGCTGGCCTCGAACTGCAAGTCCTTCCCAATCCTGATCTCCCTCTTCCTGAATAACTGGGATTACAGGTGTGTAAAATCACGACTGGTTTTTTAATTGTATGCATACTTTACTGAAAGCCATCTTTTCAAGTAATAGTTATATAATTAATTCTTCAAAAGTCAAAGGTTTTGTTCCATGTAATGAAATTTTAGATTATATAGTTAAGCCACAATTTGTGCCTCTGGGTAAGAATATATGCAAAAACAATTAATTTGATGTAACACAATGAAAGAATAGCAAGATAAAAGACGCTATAATATTTTGATGATACATGACAAAACATTAGCTTCAAGTGTTGAGGGAAAAATGAGTCTTTTAAAAAATTACTAAGACATTTTGGTATGTACAGGGAAGAGAATTAAACCCACTTAAATTAAAATAATTTGCCTTATTCTTTCGCACACACCAGATAACATATTTGTTGGCTGAGAAGCATCTCTGCTTTCATTCTACTGCTCAGATTTGATTACAAAAGATACTTAAATCTGTAGCCAAAGGTAGTCTTTTTTTAATGCACATTTACTTAATATTGGAGGAAGTGTCACTCAAGTTTAAAGGACATAGTATGCATATTAACTTTTTTGCATGAAGTCATAATCTAAAGGTGAGAGAAGAGGGCTGCAAGCAAATCTAGTATTTGTTGCACAAGGCTTAACCATCTACTTGTGCACTGGGCACAGACTTGGCTTCACATTACCTGAAGGATTGGAAAAATCCAACATGCTGGTGGTAGGCTGTAGGAGATCAGGGCTGCTGGATGAGAGTGTTCCAGGAATAGGCATTATAGCCAGGCTGTGTCGACAATGCCTTGTTCCCACAATGCTATCATCTTGTGATTGGCTGAGGCCTCCATCACTTCAAAAGAATGCCATACATCACTTGAAAGTATCTGAAGGTACTTAAACAGTAAACAATTCTATGTGCATCAGTGCATAACAAAACCAATTCACAGTGGTGACTTAACTGGATTGAACTATTGTAGCAACTTAAAAATAGGAAAATTGTACTAGGAAAATAGCAGTAATGTTTTGTAAATAAAATTTACAGACCTAACTAATCCTACTAATTATAAAAAAGCAGTCATATTTCTTTCTACTGGTTTTGGTAGAGAAATTCATCCTGAATGCTTAGAGGAACCCTTGAAATTTGCCAGCTTCAGATTTCAAACATACATATCCAGCTATGCATAGCCCCACCATAGAAGGTGATCCTCCCTCCCTTCTACCTCTCCTGCCTCTCTCCCTCTCTTCAAACACATAGAATCAGAACAGAAGGCGACTTGGTAAAAGTTAGTTCCCTTTAAGGTTTCAAAAACAAGTATCAATTAAATGGCCATAATTAAGCATAATTAAGCAAACAAAAAACTCTTCATTTAAAACATTCTAGAAGTGTCACAGACAACTCTAAATTCACATGAAAGAAAACAATGAAAATACAAACACAATGCTGTTACTTAAGTTTTACATATCCCAACACATTCGTTCAATTTTAAGCAAAACAGCTCTACAAAAACACAAGATTTCTGTCAGCATAAAACACTAGTTCTCTAAGAGTTGTATTTACATTGAAGCGATACTTTCCTCAACATTAATTCCCTTAATATTCCTATTTTATTCGATGCAATATCCTGCCCAGTATTTGTTACACATACACAAATAGAGGTATCACAGAATACTTACCTATTATCATGGAAGGGATTAAGCTACAGTAGATAAATGGGTGAAATGGGGTATATTTAGAATAAGTTAGAGGCAAAATACAGGATTTTGGCAGATTAGGAAATGAAGCAAGATGAAGAGCAAAGGTTGGTTAAATAAAAAGCTAAAGGACTATTAATAGCCAGACAAGAAAGACAGGGCCAGGACCAGAGAGAGCTGAAGAGTCAGGCAAAGTATGAAGACACAAAAGAAAGCAAAGATTTATGTTTCAAGGGCAAACTTTGATTTCAGACAGACCTAGGATAGTAGCTGTTTGACCTCAGGCAAATTCCTTTCTCTAACAGGATCTAGGTTCCCTTTATCCATAAGTGTAAATAATACCTTCTGTACCCCAAGACTACTGTAAGGAGTTAAATTAGGTAAAGTAGGTGAATATTTTGGCAAAGATGAAAATGGGATTTCTATTTTTTTTTTAAGAAGAGTAAAGTACTAAAATTAAAATGAGAACAGTACAAACACAGAAAGGAGAAGTATTCATTTTAATTAATTCATAGTGAAAAGTAGAGGGGACAGTATAGGTACAACGATAAAGGTACCACACCAGGACAATTTATTTCTAGGGAGAAAAGGCAGACTGATCTGACAGATCAGGCAAAGGAACCACCTTATTAAAGAAGTAATTTCTGCTTATAGTAAACTAGCTCCTTATAATTAGCATTGCATTCCTGACTATCAGAGTTAAATGTTTTAAAGTTAGCTAAAAGGAAGGAAAAAAGGAGGGTTTTCACAGATATTTAAATTATGTACAACATAAAGTGTTTTTTTTTTTTTAAGTATTTCTTTAATCGATTTTTTTTTTTTAAACAAACCTACCAATTTTTGGATACAGACAGGTAGCTGAAACCAAGGAAGCAAGCTGTTAAAGAGATGAGTCAGCCTTACTAATAAAGTAGAAGAAACTTTGAGAAAATTAAATTAGGATTTTCTGTCAAAGGGAGTTAGTTGCATAAACTGCAGCAAGTTGGTACTGTCGAGGTTAAGAGAAGTACATTGAGTATCCAAGTCTGTACAGCTCTTACCGATGCACTTAATCAATATTTGCGTGTTATGCCGCTGGCTGTAACTTACAGTAACTAAGGCGTGAGCATGTGTAAGTTAAGACTGTCTGTATGTACACCATGCTGCGACAGGAACAAAATAGTACTTAGAATTAGCAAAATATCCATGCTTGAAGCTGAACTGATAAAGCCTACTTGGCAAATAATGATGTCATTTCTTACCAAAACAGTCTCCTGAGAGGTGATGCAATAACAGAAATGAGACAGTGTTGAAAAATTCCTTAATAATTCCCTGGCACTAAATTTGTCTAGGTTTTTTTTTTTTTTTTTGAGGTACTAGGATTTTGAACTCAGGACTGTGCTCTTGTTATGCTGGCACTCTGCAATTTGAGCCAATCTGCCATCACTGAATTCTTATTTAGAATAAAAGAACTTCATTTCATTGTGAAACAAAAAAAGGTCGCAAAATAGCATCACTATGTACTTGAAAAATAATCCGGACATTAAATGCAAACAAAAAAAGAATATGCACTAGAAATTTGGAGGAAAAAGTAATTCCTGATAAGTGAAACAGGCTACTACTGGGAATGTTGCAATATTATTTAGGAATTTGTGTTTAAAGAAATAAAAAGAGTAGAAGCAAAACTTACCTGTAAAATCACACTTTACACAAAAATAACATTTAACATCTTCCTAGTCATTTTCTGTGGTGTACAATATAATTTACTTAACTAATGTCTGGTACTTAGACTTTTAGGGTATTTACAATTTTTACTACACATAATACAACTAAGAACATCTGTACATAAATCTTCATCTTATTACTATTAGAAATGGAACTACTGAAGCAAAGGATATGGTCTTTTTTTTTATGGACTGGGGTTTGAACACAGGGCCTACACCTTTAGTCTACCAGTCCTTTTTTGTGATGGATTTTTTTGAGATAGGGTCTCATGAACTATTTGCCTGGGCTGGCTTTGAACCATGCCATGACCTAGCTAGGATTACAGGTGTGAGCCACCAGCACCCAGCATCATTTTTAAGGCTCTGAATAAAAAAAATTATAAAAATGTTTTCTAGACAGTTCTATACAGTGGTGTATGCCTATAGTCCCAGCTTCTCAGAGACTGAAGTAGAAGGATCATTTGAGCACCAGGATTTTAAGGCCAGCCTGGGCAACAGAGTAAGTCTTCATTCAAAAAAAAAAAAAAAAACAGAAAAGGGAAAGGAAGAAAAAGAAAAGCCAGGTGTATAATAAGTCATTTTAAACTCTGTATTTTAGAGTAACTGCAATATGGATCATTTGAATATCATGTTCTCTGTTCATGTTTCTATAAAAGTTTGAGGGTTTGAAAAAAAGAAAAAGAAAAGCCAGGTTTATAATTCACCATTTTAAACTGTGTATTTTAGAGTAATTGCAATATGGATCATTTGAATATGTTCTCTGTTTATGTTTCTATAGAAGTTTGAGGGTTTTTTCCTAATTGATTTTCTGGGACTCTTTATATATAAAGGTCTCACTATGTAGCCCAGGCAGCCATCAAACTTGAGACACTCCTCCCTCTGTCCCTGGAGTTCTAGGATTATGGGCATGCACCATCATGTCTCTCTGTGTAGCAAAAGGAAATGTGTTGCTAAAATGACTACCATTTTACTTCATTGAAACATGTCTGGAAGTTTACATGAACTTCTAAAGTGCAGCATTTTAATTCATGTTTGTATTTATAGTCCACAGCTTCCTTGTTGGCACAAAGCAAAAGACTCAATAAATGCTTACTGATTAGCAAATGAAAAAATTAAAAAATCCGTCTGAATTTTTTGCGTTTTCTGCTAGATAGACCTTCCTTCCTTCCCTCTCTTGTTCCCTTCCTCACTCTTTCCCTCCTTCAACTATTGAAAAAGAACTGAGAATTGTACATATGCTTTATTCAGATATGCTTGCTTTCTCTCATTGATTTATTGATTATCTTAACTTATTCAACAAGTATTAATTGAGTGGCTACTATGTGCTAACCACTGCACTTGATTAGAAAATTTGTTACTGCTTATATAAGGAAGCTGGTAATAAAAAATACACACAGATATAATATATACTTGAGTCAATCCTAATCATGATACTTTAGTGGAATGATTTAATCAATTATTTTCAGACTTTAATTTACACTTAAAATCTTCAGGTTATTACTCAGTTGGGTGATATACCATTTTTTAAATAGAAAATAGCTACTGAATAAGATGGGTGTAGTATTGCATACCTGCAATCCCAGCACTAGGGAGGCCAAGGCAGGAGGATCACCAGTTCAAGGCCAGACTGGGTTACATCAGTAAGTGTCTCAAATGCAAAGCAAAACAAATAAATAAACAAAAATTGGGAGAAAAAAACTGTACCACAAGGGAAAGATGACTTTTAAAAATAAAAAAGCTAACCCCGGTGCTGTCAAAAACAAAACAAAGCAAAACAAAAAAACAACAACAAAACTGGCAGAGTGACTGTGTCACAAGATTCATTTGTCAAAATCTGTTGATGAAGGAATTTGAAATTGGATTCAAAATTTGTAAAAATAGGTTTCATAATATAAAACAAACTGTCTTTTCTAAAAATAATGTGAACTAATGCTAACAGAAGATATCAAACAGTGGAGACTTCACAGAATGGATGGAGAGAAATTTAGAATTTATTTTCTGATTTAGTGTTAGCTGTATAAAAAACAAGTGCCTCAAATCTTCTTGCCCCACAGTAAACACAGGAGTTGACACGAAAGCTCCTACATGACTGAGATTGACATTACCTACCTGAACAGTTTTGGAGGCAGGATACTAAATCGTGTTTTATCCAAAATTTTCCTGATTTTGTTTCTTCCACCTGAAACGGTATTTGCTTTAATTTTCTTATTTCCTTTATCCTGTGATGTCTGTTCAATGTCTCCTGGTACATCTTGGATTGAATGGCGATTACTTTTTTTTTCAGCAATTTTGGGAATATGAGGAACACCAGACTTCTCTTGTTCAGTTCTACTAAGTAATTCTTTGAACACTGTGGAAATAAAGAAATTTGTGTCATTTTTCCTCTCATTTGAAAGAAGATTTTACACCAACAAATTTTAAGGATAAAAGCAATCATTTTCTTTTCTTTGACCTTGTACAGGACCACTCAATTAAACATTATCGAGTTCACACCCATCCCTTACTTAGCTACACCTACTTCTTTCTTGAGTTTTTATGCCTGGCCATGTTTCTGATGCTGCTCCACAGGCTGCAGCATGACAGAAACACACACACACAGGTTACTATGCAGGTGATAAACAACAACACTGTAATCAAATGATTTATAGAAACTCATTTAGATTCTGGTGAAATGTAAAATGGTGGATGCATATCTGCAGGACACAGTTGAAGGCATTCAGATACATGAACTGCAGAATCAAACACTTGGCACATCATAGGTGTAGCTTTGAGCAATGTACTCTGCACCTTTAAAAAAGAAAACCCATAAATTTGCCTGCTGAAACCTCAACCACAAAGGATGATTTTTTTCTGTTGTTTTGGAGACAAAAGGAAGCAAGAGTTTCCTACAAGATCAAAGACAAGAAAGAGGAAAATGAAGAAAACCTGAAGAATTGACATATAACAATTTTAGCAGCTTGGTATTAAGTTGGGTAAAATGTGTCCTGTTTTGAGTTTCTTTTCTCTCTCTCTCTCGTTCTCTCTCTCACACATACACACACGTACACAGATGACTTGGGATCAAACAGGGCCTCATAAAGTTCTATCACAGAGCCATACCCCTTGCCCTAGGGTTTCTTTCTTTTTCTTATTAACACACATTAATTGTACATACTAATTGGGCTCAGTTTATTTCTTTTCTTTTTCCTTCCTTTCAGTACAGAGACTTGAAATCAGGGCCTTGTGCTTGCTAGGCAGGTGCTCTACCACATGAGCCACTCCACCAGTTATTTTTGAGACACAGTCTTGCTTTAAATCCTGGACAGTCATCTTCCTATTTGTGCTTCCCCATAGCTGGGATGACAGGTGCACATCACCATGCCCAGGCATTGGTTGAGACGGCGGTCTCCCTAACTTTTTGCTTGGGCAGGCCTTGATTTCTACCACCAGAGAACCTGGGCTAACAGGCTTGATCCACATAGTCTCAGTATTTCCATACATGCATAAAGCATGCATCCATTCTATCTGCAACTATCACTGCTCCCACCCTTCTCAGTCATTACTTTCAGGTTGACTTTTCTTAAGGTTACATATAAGGGAAAACATGCCATACTTGTCTTTCTGTATCTTGCTTATTCCCCATAATATGATACTTATGTTTGCTGTGAATGACAGGACTTAACTTTTATTTATGGCTGGGTAACGCTCTATTGTGTGTCTACAGTTTTGTTTTTGTTTTAGTGGTACTGGGGATTGAACTCAGGGCCACATGCTTGCTAGGCAAGTGCTCTACCAACTTGAGTGATGCTCCAGTCAGTCCTTTTGCTTATTTTTGGTTTGTTTTTCAGATAGTGTTTTGCACTAAGGCTCAAGCTGGCCTGGGACCATGACTGTTATACCTCTGCCTCCCAAGTAGCTGGGATTTCAGGCTGCACCAACGTGCTTGCTCCTCTTCCCCCATTTTGTTTATCTCTTATCATTAAGGTGGAGTCCACATTTTAGCTGTGGTGAACAATGCAGCAATAAACCAGCATGCAGATAGCTCTTCTGAAAGCTGAGATAATTTCCTTTGGCTAGATACCCAGGAGTGAGATAACACCATCATATGATACTTCGTTTTTAGTTTTTTGAGGAACCTCCATACTGTTTTCCATGGTGGCTGTACTAATTTACATTACTTCCAACAGTGTTAAGAGTTCCCTTTTCTCCACCTCCTCATCAGCATTTGTTTTATTTTGCTTTTTTGATAACAATCATTCTGACTGGTGCAGGATGATACCTCTTTGTGGTTTTGATTTGCATTTCCCTGATGGATGATATTATCCATCCATCCACTGCTTCTATTTTTTGGTCACTTGTATTTTTCTTTTTTTTGGAGATGTGCCTATTTGGATCATTTGCACATTTTTAATTGGGTTACTTATTTTTTTTTAACTAAGATTTTTGGTTCTTTATATATTCTGTATATTAACCCTCTGTAAGATGAATAGCTGGCAAATATTTACTTCCATTCTGTAGGGGGGTTCCAACCAGAAAGATGACATCACATTGCCAAAGCATGATGCTAGCTATGAAAAACATAAGTTTTGTCTTCAAAATAATAGAGATCTTTAGGAGTCATCTTTTAAAGATACTCTGCTTATTTAAAATATAGTAAGTTCCTGTTAGTTTTTTGGTGGGCATGGGGGTGGGACTGGGGATTTGAACTCAGGGCTCTGTGCTTGCAAACAGGTACTCTACTGCTTGAGCCACACTTCCAGTACAGTTTTGCTCTGGTTATTTTGGGGCTGAGGTCTCTTGAACTATTTGTCCAGTTTGGCCTTGAACCTCAATCTTCCCAATTTCAGCCTCCCAAGTAGCTAGGATTAGAGGCACAAGTCATTGGTACCCAGCTCAGCTGCTGTTTTTAAAAATTCACATTATCTTATTTAATTTTCTGGTGGTACTAGAGTTTGAATTCAGGGCTCTGGGCTTGCAAGGCAGGCACTGTACCACTTGGGCCATGCCTCTAGTAAAAAATCTCACTTTATTTTAAACCACATGGTAAAAGAAAAAAATTTTTTTTCAAGCTAAAGTCGATACTCACCCACTTAAAAAATATTTACTGACCCATGTATGTTAGGTACTGTACCAGATGTCTGCATATTCCTGCAGTAGTGGAACATGCAGTCAGATAAGATTCTTGATACAGAAAGAACATAACCAGAAAATGAGATAATAGGAAAGAAGCAATCTTCCTTAAGTCAGTCACTTTGTAGGAAAAAATAAAGGGCTCTGAATGTGGCTCAAATGGTAGAGCACTTGCTTAGTAAGCACAAGGCCCTGAGATCAACCTCCGGCACTGAAAAGAACAAAATAAAAAATGATGAGTAGATTTTAACCATGGAAAGGGGGAAATGATACTAAGTAGGGAAAATCTCAAGTTCAAAGTCCCTGTGGTAGAAGGAAAGTCCAAGAAAATGAAAATGACTATGGGAGAGAGGAAGCCAGGTATCTGAAGTTTCTGTTAAGAGAATATGAAATCTTTGAAAGGGCAGATTTACCTGCCTACAGCATGTAGGTAAGATGACTCAATAGTTTAAAAAATGGTTTATACCATAGCAGGGTGTGGTGGCGCACACTTGTAATCCCAGCACTTCGCAGGCTGACAGATCACAAGTTCAAGGCCAGCTTGGGCTACATCATGAGACTGCACCCCACTGAAAGAAGAAAAAAGTTTGTAATGTGATTGGGTTTGTGTGCATAAGTAAAAATCTGTGGACCTTCTGTAATATGATTGGTTGAATCAAAACAAGTTAAAAGACAAAAATTAGGGGGTTGTGAGCAAATGTAATTATGATGCTATTAAATAGTAATATCAGATATGTGAATCAGAAATGAAGGTGTTCATGAATCCGTAAAAGTTTAATGAATTCTATGGCATGAAAACCAAAAATGTTTCCATGTGTACATAACATGCATAAATGCACACACTAAATAATTAGAAGCAAAAAACACCAACTTGGGGAAATATTTGCAGCCTTTATAAGGTGCTTAAACAAATCAATAAAGACGAACATAAAAATGGACAGATGCAATTGAACAATTCAGAGAAATATCAAGACATACAAAAATGAGCTAAATTGTACTCATTATTAAATAACATGCATTAATAATTAAAGAGATGATTATACTTATTGCAGAGGCCTAATTATACACTTAATGAAGTAGAATTTGGGATAAGCTTTCAGAAAATAAAACCCTGTAGTATTTATCAAAAGTAATTCCATTTTGAAAAATTTATTTTATTTTTGTATAAGCAAAAAAGACTACTGAAGATTTTTATTATATAATTGCTAATATAAAAAATTAGAGATGATTTAAAAAGCCCATCAATATGACAGGATTAGTTACATAGGATATTAGAAGGTATCCAGGGTTGGGGATGTGGCTCAGTGTATGTAGCATGTGCAAGGCCTTAGATTTGATCACTAACAATAACAAAAAAGAGTACTTGTTGAGCATGGTGGTACACACTTATAATCCCAGCACTTGGGAGGATGAGGCAGGAGGATCCCAAGTTGGAGGCTAGCCTGGGTGATCTCTTGAGACCCTATCTCCAAAGGAAAAAAAAAAAAAAAAAGAAAAAAGACGTAGAAAAATGGATTGTAAGAGACATGTGGGACATAAATCTTTTTTTTTTCTTTTCTTTGGTATGGAGAGGTATTTGGGTTTTAATTCAGGCTTCTGGGTTGCCAGGCAGACAATGTGAGCCACCTCCAGCCCTTTTTGCTTTGGTTATTTTGGAGACAGGGTCTCACTTTTTGCCCAGGTCAGCCTGGACCACAATACTTGATTTTTACCTCCCAAGTATCTGGGATTTCAGGCATGAGCCACTGGTGTCTGGCATGGGACACCAATCTTTGAAGATGTAAGTTACTCACCACCCACTAGGAAAGACACAGAAAGGGATTAAAGACACTATATGAAGTGATAATGGTCATGAAATTTCTAAAACTGATGAAAGACATGAATATACAAAATTAAAAGATCACTAAATCAAAACCGTAGTTTCTGTTATTTCCTAATTACTTTCTTCCCCACATTTTCTTTTGGATCTACCAGAATAGTACTCACTTTTGCCTTTTTGTTACACAGTCTGGGAGATTTCTATTCTATTACTGATTTCGTCTATTGAACACTTGATTACTACTACTATATTTTATGTGACTCTATTCTTTGCTTTTAAGTTCCATGCGAAATAACCTAACTGCTTAACTCTACTTCATGATAATGCAGAAGGACTAGGGCTTTCTTGTGGAGTTCTACAAATATCTCGTGAGACACCACCTGGTGTTTTGCTTGGCTCACTGCACTGTACCTGGGGTTAGGAAGGGTATGGACTGTAGTCCCCCTTTGGTAGGATCATAAAACTCCATCCTCTGCTACATTCAATCTGGAATTCTGCTGGTAACAGTATTCCACCACTCAGAGAGTTCTTAGTTCTGGCTTCCCTTTCTTCTGTAGATCCTTAAAATCCTTAAAGTAGATCCTTAAGATCATCTACTTTTTCTTTCAGGGTCAATGTTGTTAATCACAATATTATACTATCTATAATTTTATATATAATAATATTTGATACCAGTTAGTGATCATTATACCACAGGCACAAAGGATTTTAACATATTAGATCCTTTAAGAGAACCCTATGAAATAGAGGGATGAAGAAACAGAAGCTTAGAATGACTAATCTGTCCAAAGGTGAAAGGGTGCTTTCACTTTTCAAAATTGGTATCCCTTAAGTTAACCTAAAAGCTGGCATTTCTAGATACTAGTCCAAACTCCAGGAAAGCCAAGAACTGTGAAGATGAACTTATCTATCTATGCTAAAGAAATACATTATTGTGAAACTGCTAACAAAGTTATATTCCAAATTTAACATGATATAAGTCAGTCAAGTAGACTCAAAGAAAAAGAGGAAAAACACCAAATGTTTCATTTTTCATTCTGACTAAGCACAGTACAAAGAGGAGTCAATGTGAAAACAACTGAACTCATACTTCCTTTCCACAAGTGTAATTTTAAAGTCAACTCTTATTTCTCTAATTGCAACCTAAACACACTAGAGGAATTTCTCCCTCTACTTCTTAAGTACTCTTCAATTTTCTTTGGTAGTTTTTAATTGTTATACTGTTTTCACTGCTGCCTCCCCTCAGAATTTCAGCACAAATCCTATGGTGTGTAAAGAAATCAAATGGCAATAAATCTTTCCTAAAAGTTAAAAAAATAAATAAATTGTAGATTTAGTTAAAAGTACAGTGAATACATGTTTTATTCAGATACAATGCAGGGCTGGGAATGTAGCTCAGTGGTCAAGCACTTGCCTAACAACATTCAAGGCTCTGGGTTTGAGTTCCCAGTACCACAGAACAAACAATATATACAGTGGCGGCACCATAATCAACATTTTTACACAGAAAGAAAGGGTACAATCTCATTAGAAATCTGTAATTCACTGTTTATTTCATTCAATGCCTTACTCAATTTATTTCCATGAAACAACTTAATCTTGTTGGAAAGCTAGTTTAAAGATAAGGATTTGCACTATAGCAGCGTTCTGAAAGAGTGTGATATGATTTCTTTTATTCAGCACTCCCTCTTCTCCCAGAAGAATATTGTACAGAACATATGCTCAATAGCCATTTCATAAGTGATTGACTGAAGCTGTATACCTATTTTCAAATTTACTCTGGAGGACATAAAAATAATAAATAAAAATAAAAATTCTAGATTAGAAAACACTAACATTTTAATAGCTTAGGCAAAAATGTTTACATTTTACTATCTTCCTTTTTGCTGAAATGACTTATTTTTGTATTACCAAAAAACCCCCAAGCAACCCAAAAAACAGCCCACACAAGTTTTGACAATAAAACTCACCAAAAATATTGGTCTTCACAGTAACTGCAAGATGTGTATTATTCCTCAAAATTTCAAGGGCCTTCACAAATGTAATATTCTCAAAATTTTGTCCATTTACTTCCATTATCTTAAAAGCATTTGAAAAATACAAATTAAGACAGAGCACAGTCTAAGTTACATCTACAACCATAAAGTTTAATAGCGAAAAAATAAAATGGAACTTGAATAAAATGCACCATATTTGAACAATGGTTGTATCTGTGGGAAGCTGGACTATTGTTTAATTTTTTTAATACTGGCATATTTCTCAACTTTTTAAACTTTTGTTTTGGTACTGGAGTTTGAACTTTGGGCCCCATGCTTGCTAGGCAACCACTTCAGATCAGCAAAAAACATTACTACTTGTTCTTGGCACAGTATTCATGCTTGCAATCCTAGCTACTCAGGTGTGGATTGGGAGGATGCTGGTTCAAGGCCACGGAGGACAAAAAGCTCAAGAAACCCTGTCTCAGTCAATAAAAGCTGGGCGTGGTGACACATGCCTGTCATCTCAGCTATGCAGGAAGTGTAATAGGAAGACTGAGGTACAGGCTGGCTGGGCATAAATGCGAGACTCTACTTAAAAAATTCCTAAAGTAAAAGGGGTTGGGAGGGGTGTGCGGCTCAAGTAGTAGACTGCCTGCCTGGCAAGAACAAGACCCTGAGTTCAAACTCCAACAATGACAAAAAATAAAAAAAAATTACCAACTGTGTATGTATAATAATTTAGTCATATATTCTAAATGCAAATTTAATGCATTTCAAAACATTTGAAAGCACCACTCTAAAGCTGGGTATTATGGTGAAGAGCTATAATCCCAGCATTTGAAAGGCTAAGGCAGGAGGATTGAGAGTTCATGGCCAGCCTGCACTACACAGTGAGACCCTGTTTAAAAAGAAAAAAAGCAGCACTCTAAAATATAATGTATTTCACTGTGACTCACTGAATCAGGCAGCCAAACAATAAGAAATGTTACTGGGATGAATTTTCTTTTTGTGTAAACACTGCTGATCCTTCACAGCAGAGACTCCTCAGTTTGGGTGTATTTCAATATCATACAAGAAGTTTATTTTGGGGCTGGAGGCATGGCTCAAGTGGTAGAGTGCCTGCCAAGCAAGCATTAGACACTGAGTTCAAACCTCAATACCATACACACAAAAAAGTTTATTAAAAACCAAACAATTTTGAGGGAAAAAGGATAAAGATATAAACATGAGCAAAAATTAAGCAGCAAAGAGGACAGATCCAGGGGGACTGACTTAAAAATTCCAAAAGGATAAGAGAAAGAGAATGCAAGACAGTATATCAGAAAAAGAAACTTCTACACAAGTAAAATTCACAGTTGAAAAAGGCCTGTGTCTCTAGACTAAAATGCTAATCAAGTACCATGCAAAGATAAAAATAAGGAGATCGATTTTTAACGTATGCCAAGGAAAATTCTGAATTCCAAGGGCAGAAAATAAAGACCATAAATAGCACCGTGTGAAAAAAAATCAAAAGTACAAAAGAAAAAAAAAAGTTAGTTTGGAATTCTTCGGGGACACATTGCAATGATGTGATACTTTTCTACAACTTTAATGTTCTGAGAGGAAAAAGAAAACACTTAGAATTTTATCCTTTATAGAACAAAAGCATCTTCAGATATGCAAGAACACATAGAACTACAGTTCTTTGCTTTTCCTCTGTTGAAAAAAAAATACAGGAAGGACTAACAACAACTATGAAATGAATAAAAATGGAGAACTATAGAAGAAATGGAGGTAACCAATGAAATCAGTGAACATAAATGATTGACTATATAAGCTTGGAAATGATGCAAATGTCAAGTGTTCTTGAAAGAGAAGATACGTAATGTTAAAAATGGCGATAAAATCTCAGATTTCAACAGTTACTTGGGATTATGAATAGAGGAAGCAAAAACATGATAAATTTCATTCTTAGGAATACAATTATTGGATTTCACTACGTGAAAAATAATATACTGACTCTAGGATCTGGCTATTAAGCATTTCTAATGAATACTCTCTAAGTCCCCAAAACCTCTACTTTCAAAAAGCTCCCTTAAGCAAAGAAGGGGATTACTACTACTTTGAACTAGTTTCTCTTTTTTCTTTCTTGGTGGTACTTAGGTTTGAACTCAGGGCCTCACGCTTGTTAGGCAGGTGCCCTACCACTTGAGCTACTCCACCAGCCTTGACCATGCTAACTTGAAAAAATAACAGATGAGGACAAAAACAGCAGATATACTATTTATAAAAAAGTTTTAATTTAAGTGGTGGTTTATTTACTTACCTGATCACCACGTTTCAGTCCTGCATCAGCAGCTTTGCTACCAGGTTCTACTCCTTCAACAAATATACCAAAGCCCTTGTCACTTCCTCCATTAAGACTGAAATGTAGAGGGGACTCTCGAGAAGCCTTTTGCAGCACAACCTGTCTCCACTTAGCCTTTGCAGCACAGGCGATATTCAGTAACCGGAGATGACCATTCATCTTCTGTAAGGTTGAAAAGGGTAAAATATACATGCATGTATTTATTCCTACAGGCTCCTCAAATCACCTAAAATTATTAGAACGAGAGCTATAAATAATGAGCTGGGATAAATGAAAATGAAGGAAAGGGCACTTTCAGTCCAGAGCTCACTCAAGAACAAGATCTCTTAATAGTATTTAAAGATTTGTAGATAGTCACTGGGCAGGAAAGATTTCAAAGCAATGTCTCATTTATAGAAGGATGACAAAATAATTTCTCATTTCCTGAATCTTCCTAATACATACTCTACTCCTGTCTTGCTTATCTCTTGGCTGTTGCACAAAACAAGAATCTTTTAAAAACTTTATTTAAAACCTTGAATGACTCGAACCACCTTTCCAGCTTTCTGCTGGCCTACAACCTGATTCTCCTGATCTCACCCTTCCAAGTAGCTAGGATTATAGACATGAGGCTCTAGCACCAGGTTGGAACTTGGATCTTCAGACAATCTGACATCTGGCTACACTTTTTAAACCACTATGCTGCATTACTATTTATTTCCTAAAATTTCAAGTTGCTTGGAGGTGTTGCAGCTTATTTGTTTTACCTGACAGGGAAAATAAAGTGGCTTCATGAAGCACTACTATGGAAGTTAAGAAGACGACTCTGAATTATTTTAGGATATATATATATATATATATATCCTATATGTGTATATATATATATCCTATATGTGTATATATATATATATATATATATATATGGTGGAAGCACACACAGAAGGGAGATCTATGAAGTTTTAATGTGGCTTTGATGAATAGAATAATCAATGAAAGTTGCAGTTTCAAGCAGGACTGGGAGAGGAGAAATCTAGCATGATCTGAGATGCAGAACTGGTAAAGAAGATAGTCTGGTTTGGATATAACCTATGGTGCACAGGAAAAAGTCTGAAAAGTACAGGAAAGACCTGACTATATAGGTGAGAAACTATTTTGATGGAAATGTGGCTTACTGATTAAGACAAAAATATGTATTACATTTGTAGTTTAAAAATAACCTCTGATCACACAGAATATACTAGAAGATAGATAGACCAGAATTAAGATCAGTTAGCAGGCTATTATAACCAACCAGGCAGAATGAAATAAAGAGGTCCTAAGTAGGAAGTGGAAAGGGAACCGCTAAGAAAGAGACTATGTGTATGCATATGCGTATGAATATGCCCAAGTCTGTGACATGGTTGACTTTAGAAAATGACTGGACATCTTGGCCATGGAATTCAAGGAAAAACGGAGGGGACACATATATAACACCAATGATTACAAGCATGGGAGACTAATAAATAACAATGTTATTAGTCTCAAAACAGAAGTGAAAGACTCTGGAAGGAGCATGATTTTTATTTGGGTTGAAGTGGCAGAAAATGAATCAAAGTCTATAATGTAGATTTGGAAGTTCTCAGAATGGACATTTAAGACACAAGAAATGATGAAAGTTGTTTTATGAGTTTTTGATCTTACTGAGGGAAGACCATCAGCAGTGTAGGGAGAGCCATAAAGTCTGAAAAAACAAATTATTTTGAGCCTTACTGTATCTTCCAGATTTTTTTCAAATTCCTCTAGAAATCGAGTCATAGCAGGGTCACCTTCAAAATCATTAAAATGATTATTTACCCATAGTAATACAATCCGTGTCACCTGTGTAAACAGAAGAGGCGGCATAAGGTTATGAGCAGCATTCCTTCTGCATAAGTAGATTTCAAAAGCATGCCCAAAACTACGCAAGAACTGAGCTTTAGGGCTAAGCCTCTGTATCCTCCCCAACCCCCTGTCCCAAGCACACAAAAGAACTGTCTAGTAGAGAAGCATGGTTTAATTTGAGCTTTTGCTTCCTTAGGTACACAAGAGTAGGACTCTGTGCCCTCAGTGAGAATATACTAAGATGCTTTATATTTTAGCAAATATAAGTGTCTTAAAATACAAATTTTGTATCATAAACGCAATCATATCAATAAAAAAACTACATCTATAGCCAAAACCAAAACTGTTAAACAAATCTGAAACTTCCTTTATTATAAATACTGTCAGTTTTTCTTTAAAGTGAACTGGTTCCTTTACTTTGCTCCTTAGATTAAGAGAAAAGTTAAAAATTAACAAATAGAAGTGGACTTGAATAATGTGCCTAACAAGTAATTTGAGTCATATTTCTAAAACTGTAACAAAATACTCATAGATCCACCATTTTAACTGTTTTAAACTACACATCTCAGTGGTATTTGGTACATTCACAATCATGCACATCCACTACCTTGTTCTGGAACATTTTTTATTACCCCAAAAGAAAGATCCATACTCATTAGGAAGGCACTTCCTATTCTGGACTCTCTTCTGCCCCAGCAGCTACACTAATTTGCTTTCCTGTCTCTGCATATTTGCTTATTCTGGGTATTTCATATACGTAAAATCACATAACATGTAATCTTTTGTGCTGACTTCTTTCACTTAGTACTTCATTCCTTTCATGGATTGATAATACTTTATTTTATGGCCATACATACCACGACGGATATTTGGGTTGCTCTCACCTACTGCCATGTTAATGTACAGCTGTAGGCATTTGTGTACAAGTTTTTGTTTGTGTACCTGCTTTCAGTTCTTTGAGACCAGAATTATATGGGCGCTCTATGGGAGGCAGCATATGGTTTTTTTTTTAATTTTTAAAGTATTTTTATTATTCATCTGTGCATACGATGCTTGGGTCATTTCATCCCCCCTTCCCCCACGTCCTCCCTTACCACCCACCCCACCCCTCCCTCTCCCCCCAACCCCGTCCATACCCAGCAGAAACTATTTTGCCCTTATCTCTAATTTTGTTGAAGAGAGAGTATAGGCAATAATAGGAAGGAACAAGGGGTTTTGCTAGTTGAGATAAGGAGAGCTATACAGGGAGTTGACTCACATTAATTTCCTGTGCATGTGTGTTACCTTCTAGGTTAATTCTTTTTGATCT